CCTTGTATCCCTCAAAATCAATACTTGTGAGGTTTTTCCATAGTCAGTTGTGCTGGATATGCTCAGAGTAATGAAAAATCTGAGTTGCTGAAGACACATACTCCCAGCTCAGGTGCAAGAAATAAACATTTGTGGATCCTAGCACCAAAACCTTTTATTTAAATTCTATGTTCTTTTAGTAAGATGATGCTGTACAGCAGTCTCTTCTGCGTGAAATAACTACCATCGTCATGACTTCAACTGTGCCGGCTTGCTAAACATTGTCACAATTGGGCTTGCTGACAGTTGTGCTCCTTCACAAAAGGAGGGGCAAGCAAGGTCATTGGACCCTTACCAGAGTATCCTGCCACTCTTCCCAGCCAACTGTATGTAATTTGGCCCTAATCACACATGGTCTCCTGGATTTGTGGATGACTAAAGTATATAATCTGGGGAAGGCTAGGAAGAGAAGGCTTGATCCACGCTGGGTAAAGGCGTTCCAGTGCACATACCCTCAGGTCACTCATACACCTCAGCAAAACCTCAGTCATCTCTGTAAGTAAGCTCAGTAAATTCATTGGTTCCCCAGGAAAACTTTGTCAAACATTGGTTTGACACTAGAACCTTAGAAGGGGACAAACGTTATTTAGTATCCCCAGAAAAAATAATTCTCACAACAGATGGAAAATTTGTTAATGTTATTATGCCTCATAATTATTAAAAAAGAAAGTAAGAATGAAAAAGATGTTAAAAGGATATGGGAATGGAGATATCTTCCGAAATACAGAAAATTGAGAAAGCCCTAAGCAAGTGATGAAGGTCTGTATGGGTTTGTTATGATAAAATGAGACAAAAATAATATACACATAATTTTAAAATTTCTAAGGTCAGAGTTTAGTCAATTAGCTTAAGGAACAAAGCATCTGTCTAGTCAAGGTTTATCTGAGAACGTTTGCTTTTTGCCCAAGCTTTATCTGCACAGCACATGGCAATTAAAAATACCAGACTGGGGGCTGGAGAGATGGCTCAGTGGTTAAGAACACTAACTGTTCTTGCAGAAGACCTGGATTCAAATCCCAACACCCACATGGCAGCTATCAACTGTCTGTAACTTTGGTTCCAGGGCATCTGACAGTCTTTTCTGTCCTCTACAGGCATTGCACAACATGGGTGCACTTACCTACATGCAAGCAATACATGTGTACACATAAAATAAAAATAAATTTTAAAAAGTATCAGACTGGTGGAACTAACCTTGGATGTTTAACAGCCATACTTTGAAGCCTACACTAATCTGGTCAGAGAGACTTAATGGACAGGTTTTGCTCCTTGCCCTCCAAGGTCAACTAAGTTCCAGGGGACTATGGAGCATCTCCCAAATGTCCCGTTATTGTGGTGAGTCACCTGTCCTCTTGTTCAGGGAGGCCATGGAGACCCCACCAGATGGACTTGAACCAGTGTCCAGTCTACAAAGGGGGGAGGTCAACACAGAGGAAACATTTCCTCCATGCTTCCAAGTGAAGCCAGCCACGGTAAAGCAGGACCTTTGACTGATCTTCACATAGATGAAACTGGTAAAAGGAGCCAGGGACTCCCCCCAAGCCCATGTGACCCCTGAGGAACAGATCCTTAAACGACCTGAAGAGTAAAAATAAATTGATTTGGGCCAACTGTGCGGTTTTAAACACCCAAAAGGCAAGTATAACCAAAGATGTAAGACTTCAAATCTTGGTCTGCAATACTGTAGTGCCCACCTGTAGCTAAGGGAGAAAACCCTCTATTGTTCTAAAATGTTGGCTAAATTTTTCTCCCATCTAGACGTCTTTGAGAGGGAACCTACACTGATTCTAGCCACTCCAATAGCCATCAAAGTGCCTGAAAATAAATCCTGAGTCCATCATTCTCAAGTCCAGCCTTGGCAGACAATAGAAAAATGAGGAGGAACCCAATGGACGGATGCTTTGGGAAGCTCTCATCAAGAAATTCCAGTGGACTCTGATATGAACATTTGAAATTTGTGCTGTTTTGACGTTTTTCTGGTTGCATGTCTAGAACTTGTTCTGCTAACTACTCTTGCCTTTATTTCTTCAAATCTTCTAGGCATCAAGGACTTTCTTTTCTCCCCACAGATACGGGAATCTTTTAGATAGACCCACTGAAGGGGAACCCAGTTGCCTTACCCTGCATCCCTATTCAGCATGGAAGAAGCCAGAACAGTCTGCATCCCAATTCCCTATTGGCAATTTGGGTAACCTATTCAGAGGATGGTGCAGTAACAGTAGGAGGTAGGAATTGGCTAGGCAGTTAGGGCAAAAAGACCCCAAAGAGGCCAGTTTCTTGGCTAAAAATGTCCTTGGGCCTTTTAGCAACATACTCTGTTCCAAAGGCCAAAAGTATTTGGGAGCTCTTATCTAATCCCCAGAAGATTTTAGGGTTACCTCTTTCAGAGGGGTAAAATGTTAAAGCAGAAAAAAGCCCCATTAAAACAGAAAAAGTACACAAAGTTGTTCAGGAAAAAGTGATGGGGAGATATGGGAGTTGGACGGGAGGGAGTGGGTGTGGATTTGATCAAACACCTTATATGCATTTATGAAATTCTCAATAATTTTTAAAAACATTTTAATGTGTATTGCCTGCATGTAGGTAAGTGCACCCATGTCATGCAATGCCTGTCAGAGCCCCTGGAACTGGAGTTATGGACAGCTGTTAGCTGCCATGTGGGTGTTGGGATTCAAACCCAGGTCTTCTGCAAGAACAGCCAGTGTTCTTAACTGATGAGCCATGTCCCCAACCCCTCAATAATTATTTTTCAAAGTTAAAAAAATAAAAATTAAAAAAAGAAATAAACACTTATCTTCCCACTTCAGCTTTATACTGAAACAAAGTTTTGTGGGTTTTTTGGAGTCTATTTAGCACCATGTTTGTATTGTGCTTTTTTTTTGGTCTTTTTGAGACAGGGTCTCCCTGTAGCCCCCTGTCCTGGAACTATGTAGACCAGGCTGGCCTTGAACTCAAGAGATCCGCCTGCCTCTGCCTCCCAAGTCCTGGGATTAAAGGTGTGCGCTACCACCCCGGCTATATATTGTGCTTTTTGAGATTTCACTGATTAAAATGACCCTGAGCACAGTGCTGAAGTGCTGTCTAGCATTGCTAAACATAGGCATCATGATATATCTTACACAGAAAATTTGTCAGAGCGGCTTTGTTTAGGACAGAATTACAGTGCTACTGACCATGAGTATAATGTTAACAGAGAATCAATACTGAATGACTAAGGTAAATCTTTGGACAGAGACACAGAAACAAACATTGGCTCACAATAATGTAATGAGAAGTTCAAAGGAAAATAACTCTATTTCCTCTAAAAGCAAAGGTGCAGGATCTAATGAATTGATAACTACCAAAAATATCAATAATTAGTTTTATGTGTTTTCTAATACATTATCCCCTTGTTTGGAAGTTACTCATAAGGTGCCAGGCTTTCCTTTCATTTCACTGCCACGTATCAGGCTCACAAACAGTGCTTAGTACTTACTAGTAATCTAAGACAGTTGCAAATGGGTAATTACAAGCAAAGGATGAACAAAAAATTCCTTAAAGAAACTCAACTGGCCATAGAGAAAATGCTCAACCTCAATAGTAATCACATAAATGATCAGCCAAGGTTGATGCTCCCTCATGACCTCAAGACCACATCTAGTGTTGGCAAGAATTTAAAAAAGCCAATCATGCAACCAGTATGTCTTTCCATGTGTGTATCCTTTGACCCTGAAACAGAAATCTTCCCTCCAATTCCCAAAATCTTAGATCTGTGTGGAAATTTTGATCCACAAGGATAATTACTACAGCACAATTAACAGCAAAACTATCTAAATCAAGAAGATTCTTTTGATTAGTGAAACAGCAGTTACTGACACAACATAGTATGCAGTTAAAAAACTGTTTAAAGAGGCACAGTGACTTGCATCTGTAATCCTCACACCCAGAAGACAGAGGTGGAGAGCACCAGTAGTTCCAGGCCAGTCTGGACTAAAAATAGAATTCAAGGCCAGCCTGAGCTACAAGACCCTATTTCAAAAAGCAAACAAGCTTTTCTAGACCTGGTAAGATGGTTCAGTAGGCAAAGTGTTTGCTGCGCAAGCATAAGCATCAGAGTTTGGATCTCAGAAAGCCAGACAGGCTTGGCAGCTGCCTAGTAATCCCAGGTAACCAAAAGGCAGAGACAGGGTATCCTCAGGACCAGCTGGCTACCTAAACAGAATCCACGAGTTCCAGGTTCAAGAGACCCTGCCTTAATACAAGTGGAATGCAATTGAGGAAGACTTTCAAAGTCAATTTTGGGCTTCCACATGCAAATGTACATTCCCCACACATGTAAACAGACGAACACACATGCACATAAACAAAAAATTTTCCTCACAATATTCATTACTTATATAATTGGGAGAGATTTAGGAGTAAATACAGCAAATAAATTATGAAGCACTAAATCTCTGGCAAAGTGTTTTACCACTGACTGCCAGTCACCCTCAAGCTCAATGTTAACTCAAATCACTACAGAGATGTTGTCTGAGCCAAACTGAGAGGTGGAACACACAAGTGACTAGTCCAGTATTTCCATCTGCTGTATGAACTCCTCTGCTCAATCTCTGATCTACAGTTTACCAGCTATGTACTATAGATCTGTGCATGGTTAGAGACCATAGGTCAAAATCAGATGTTTTCCTCAGTGGCTCTCCTCCAACTCACTCCTGGAGACAGGGTACCTCAGAGCACCTGTAGCACACCAATTTGGTTGGACTGGCCGGCCTCAGACCTGGAATTACAGATGTGTACCACCGGGGATGGATTCTGGAAACTGAACTCAGGTTGCAAAGCAAGTACTTTACTGCCTGAGTCATCTCCCCACACCCCTAAACATCAAGAAATATAATGCAGCCAATGTACAAATTACCAGAAAGAGATACTTTTCATCCTTAACATTTTGAAATTTTCATTCTTCTACAATTACAAAATGAAACTAGCAAAAACTCTGAGGATTTTAATTTGCAAAATAGATTGCATGCTTCATGGGCAAAATCAAAGGTAAAGGACCAGCAGCTTACATTTTATTCATGGTTATTACATAGGGCCAGTGCACTTCAGTTAACACAGAAACACAAATTCTTCTAACAGTAATAATAAATACTAAACTAAAAGTTAATAAGCATTCAGCAAGTCTCAAATAGATACTCATCAAAATGAGGTAAGTCTAATGTGTCATTTGTTAAAGAATTCAATGCTGATGTGGAAAAAAACTCATCAAAAATATCAGCCTTCACAGGACTCTCCAAGTTCAATGCTCTTATGCAAGGGTTGTCTGTTAGTGAACCTGGCTGAACTTCACATTGATTTTTCTTGGTAGGGCTGCAGTAATTGTGGTCCTGTTTCAGATGAGTGTTCTTGGAAATACCATTTAATTCACTGGGTACTGGTGCTGGGGTGCTGTTGTCATCTCCCATTTCCAAGTATCTAAAGTCACTTTCCACATTTTCCGAGAGCTCAGTTGACACAGTTGTAGGAGACAATAATTCTGCTAAAATATCTTCATGACTCTGACTATTATATGAGGTAACACTAGGAACAGTGGTGCATCCGGCTTTGTTATCAGCAAGGTCAATCTGATACTGTAGTTCGTTTAATAAGTCTTCTATTGACTCAGAGTCATTTGGAGAACCACAATGGGACACAGCTTCTAAATTTTCACTTGGGAGTGTTCCATTTTGGGGGGAAGACGTAAGAGCAGCTAATTTCTTCTTTTTTGCCTTTAGCTTTTTAAGAAGTTTTAGACGAAGTTTATGAATCTGATCTTCAGCTGAGGCTCCATGGCTTACTAAAGAAATGCTGTTTTCGTTTCTATGGGAATTGTGGCTGAGGTGAGCTACATCTGAGGAGCATTCCTGCTTCTTCAGTAGTTCTGAAGCACCATTCCCACAAGGACGTGGAAAAGCAGCTGTGCTACCTGATGCTGTCGAGCTGCTGACTGGAGAAGCCTCAGCTACACACTCACAAGCTTTCTTGGACACCCAGCTGGCCTTCTGACTTACACTTTTAGTTTTAAAACCATCAAAATTATTTGCTCCTTTAACTGAGGGCTGCAGATCAGCTAGAGAGTTTCTGTTCTGAGCTGAAACACATGGCGGCATGAAAGAAGCACCCCTGCTCAACAGGCCTTTAACCCAGCTTCCCACAAATGGCTTCTTCTGGTTTTCTTTCAGAGGCCGATTCTGTGATGACTTGGCAGTTACAGTTTTAGAGTATGTTGTGGTTGCTTTGTTTTTCAAGTTAGATACCTGAGGTGTGCTATGTTGTTCTGGCTTTAGTTTTTCAGTTTGTAGTGGAAGGAATCTTAATTGAGTGTCCTCAGTTTCCACTGACTTCACTTCCTGAACACCACCAGGAGCATGGACATTAGTCACAGATTTAGGAACTGCAGCGTCTTCTGCATGTGCCTGTATCGACTGCATGTTTGTATTTACAACTTGCGATGGGAAACTTACATCCACAAACTGGGCATGGATAACCTTTTCTTTACATAGATTAGACAATAAAGAAGTCATCAGTGGTTCCTGTGATGGCAAAGTATTTGCTTTGACAAGGCTTATATTTTCTGTCACAGGATTGCCTTCTGATAGGAAGTCTTTGGAGGCAATCTGAAAAACAGAGGCAGCTTCCTGGATAGTTCCTTCCAGTGTCAAAGGTAAAATACTATCAACCAAACCTTTAGCTTCAGCCTTGTCCTGTGGGAAGGTCTGAGGAGCAACTGACAGATGTGTGGGGTAAGTGACAGAGGTTTCTGCCTCAGCAGTCTCACCCATAGAGCACAGTGCTGGAGAAGCTGGCTTCTCACCTAATGTATGCTTCTTGAGTGGAAGGCAAGCAGCTTCTTTATCTACTACTTGGAACATTTTTCTTTCCCAAATAACAATATGTATCTCTGAAGCAGGAACTCCAAACTCCTCATGTCTTTTAGCACATGGACCTTTTAAGTCATCACATTCTAGCCAACTTCCTGGGGGATGAGAAAGAAAGTCCCAGGTTAGACACTCACAAACAACACCTACCTTCACCTTCTTCTGCCCTTTTTAGCTGCTGTATTACACACCAAAAAAAAAAAAAACACTTTTAAAACACAGCCTTCTGTGCTAGGCACAGTGGCTCACGAGTTCAAGGCCAGCCTGGTCTACATAGCGAGTTCCAGGCCAGCTGGTCTCCATTTTTTTTTGGGGGGGGGTCTCCATTCTCTCAAATCCTTTGTTTATTTTTGAGACAGGGTCTCCTGTGGCCCCGGCTGCCCTGAAACTCGCTATGCAGACAAGGCTGGCCTTAATCTTACATAGATCATCTGGCTCTATCTCCTGAGTGCTGAAGTTAAAGGCTATGCTTAGCTCTGTAGCTATTGTTCTTAAAAAAAGAAAAAAAAGAGGGGCTGGAGAGATGGCTCAGCGGTTAAGAACACTGGCTGTTCTTGCAGAAGACCCGAGTGTGAATCCCAGCATCCATATGGCAGCTAACAACTGTCTGTAACTCCAGTTCCAGGGGATCCAACAGCCTCTTCTGTCCTCCATGGGCATTGCACGACACAGGTGTACTCACCTACATGCAGGCAATATACACATACACATAAAATAAAAATAATAAAATATTTAAAAAAAAAAAGGAAAGAAAAAAGAGTGATTGTTGGCAAGGCCCTGGAAAAACTGGAACTTTGTGTATTGCTCGTAGGAATGTAAAGTACAGAAACAATCCAGTCATTCTTCCAAAAGTTAAACAGAATTATCAAAAGACTTGGCAATTCCACTTATAGGTATGTACCCACAAGAAGGGAATTAAGATACCTGTCCACCAATGGTCATAGTAGGATTACTCACAATAGATAAAAGGTAAGCAATCCAAGATGAATACATAACACACACACAGGATTTAAAAAGCTTTAGAAAGGAAGGAAACTTGACACATACTATATCATGGATATCCTTTAAAATATGCTAATGGAAATAAGCAAGACACAAAAAAGCCAATACACAATGACTCCACTTAGACAAGGTACTTAATAGAGTTGTCAAACTCAGAGAGACACAAAATAGAATAGTAGTTACCAACTGCCAGGAACGGGGATAAGATGGGGAGTTAATTCTAATAAGTAGAGCTTCAGTTTCAGATGAAAAGATTATAGAAATGGATACTGGTGAGAGATTTATAAAATTATAAATATTTAATGCCAGTCAGGCATGGCGGTGCACCTTTAATCCCAGCCCCAGGGAGGCAGAGGATCTTTGTAAGATCAAGGCAAGCCTGGTCTCTACATAGTGAGCTCCAGGCCAGTGGGGGCTAAAAGGAGACCCTGTCTCAAAACAAAACAAAACTTAAAAAAAAAAAAAAAAGTATTATGTCAATGAACTATAAACTCAAAATGTTGAAATGGTAAATTTTGTTATGGCATTGAAAATACACAGCTCAGTATTTCTATGAAATCAAATGTGGTGAACTGATAAAGCTCAGTATCAGATACACACTGTAAAACATTTTCTATTCTCTGGGTTATAGTGAGCACTGAAACCATCATATTTTTTCAAGGCAGTGATAGTGCCTTAGACAGCATGGTTCTAGCAGTACAGAAGAGGGTGTCAGATCCTAGAACTAGAACTGGAATTATAGGCAGTTATTAGCTGCAATGGGGGTGCTGGGAATCGAATGTGGGTCCTCTGTAAGAGCAGCCAGTGCTCTTAACTGCTGAGCCATCTCTACAGTCTGAAACAAAGATTTCTAAGAGCACACAGAAAAAGCTCACTTCATTTTTAATCTGAGGAAGCCATTTTCAGTCATAGGCTGAAAAGACCTCTCATAAGGGATTAATTTTGAGGAACCAGGATGTTAAGAAAGGAGAAAGAGACCTTTCTGCAGCTGGGCTTCAGGCCAATTTAATTGCTCATATACTGGTCAATTCTGAGGGCATCATTAGTGACTAAGAACAACAGATAAGGCCCAATGGATTAAAAAAAAAAAAATTTGTCAAAGAGGAAAACTACGCCAAGATTGGAGGGGGCGGTAAGTATGGGGTAATAACCAAGCTAAATATGCTCAAAGCACAGGATATGCACACATGAAAATGTTATGAGAAAACCATTATTCTGCATTAATTCTCTCTCTCTCTCTCTCTCTCTCTCTCTCTCTCTCTCTCTCACACACACACACACACACACACAGGCAAGGGCATGGAACAACAGTAATCCTCCTTCACTGACATATGAATATGAAACAGTACAGCCTCTTTGGATCCAGCAACCAAACTCCTTGGTACTTATGCAAGTGGGCTGAAAAGTTATATCCACACTAAAGCTTTCATGTAGACATTTAAGCACTGTTACTCCTAACTACCTAAATGTTGACACTACCACAATGTTTTCTCTTTGTGTGTGGCAGGAGACCAGAAGACAACCTTGGGTGGCATTCCTCAGGTGCTGTCCACCTTTGTTTTGGCTTGGAACTTGTGAAGTAGGCAGGCTGGCTGGCCAGCAAGCCCTAGGGATCCTACCTCGCCAGCTGGGATACATGTGTGCACCACCACTCCCAGCTTTTTGACATGGGTTCTGGGGATCAAACTTAGATCTTCATGCTTCACAGTAAGCAATTTACCAACTGATGTTTTCTCTTAGGAGAATGTATATAAACTGTAGCCCATCCAAACAATGGGCTGTTGCTCAGTAATACAAAGAAATGTATTATCAAGCTATGAAAAGATCTCTAAATTCTTATTACTAAGTGAAATAAGACAATTTGAAAAGTCCATACTGTGTATGATTCAAGCTATTTGACATTTTGGAAAAACATAACTATGGAAACACTAGAAAGATCAAGACATATGCAACTGGGGGAAGAATGAACTGGTGGAACATTTTTAGAGTAATGAAATTATTCTGTATGGTACTATAATGGCAGATATATGTCAGTATACATTTACCAATGTATCTGGGTAATAATGTGCTATTGTAGGTTCACAGATATTAACAAGTCAGATGTGGGATGTACACAGAAGGGGGAAAAATAGCTAATAGAACCAAATTTAGTTTATAGTCCATGCACTGGGCACTCTCTAAAGACAGTTAACTTGGAAAAAGGAAAATAAAAGAGATCTGATAATAACTATCGCATTCTAAAACAAAACCAATCACTAAGTATATGGTTTATGAGGATATGCACTAATAACCTAGAATGTACTATTTCTTATTCTGTAACAAATAAAAACATGCGACTTTTTAGTTTGCCTGCATCAGTCACTTTCCAATATGTGCACATTAGAGTTTGCAAGACATTATCAGTATTTGGACCTAATCTCTTAAGACCGACCCAGAATAGAACCAGGAAATTTTTTATAAGTTAATCATGATTCTATAGGCTGTCAGGATGAAAAACCATGCTGGATTTTTCACTGAATGCAATGAAGTTAAAGTTGGGCTTTTGGTTTTGTCTGTAAAGAACTACTTAATAACCAAATTTGACAGCAAAGTAAAAACTTCAAGATAATAATTATTTACAATGTCTGAGCTTGCAAAGTCCTTTCATAATACAATAGTACATTATCCATCCAATTTGCCAAGGGGCAATATTAAATATAAAAAGTGACCAAATGATAGAAAATGGTTCTATCAAAGTAATCCTTTACAATACTGATACAAACTCCTTTGGCATAGTATTGGTGATGGAATCTAGGGCCTTGGATATGCTAGGCCACTAAGCTATATCCTTAGCCTTGATATATACTTTAAGGGAATGGAATTATCTTGTCTAAGACAAAGTGAACACTGTAAGGAAAACAAACTTAATAGTGAACAAATAACCAAATTTCGTACACTGTATTTATTTAGCTGTCCACTGAAAAGCATAATTATCAGAGTAAAGGTTTTATATTGGCTATAGCTTTCAGTACACTATAGATTCAGATATGCCATCTCAGTAACAGAAGGGCCACATAGTCTAACATTCAACATTCTTAGATGTTTACATCTATTTATATTTACTAACAACTGCAAACTTAGCAAAAGTTACATTTTCTGCTTTCTATCAAAAACCTTTAATATGATGAAATCTTTCTTTTTTTTTTTTTGGTGTTTTTGAGTGGTCTTTTTGGAACTCACTATGTAGACCAGGCTGGCCTCAGAGATCTGCCTGCCTCTGCTAGGACTAAAGGCATGTGCCACCACACCTGGCTATGATGTACTTTCTTTCTAAAGTAGAAAGTACTTTCAGATCCCACTATCCACGTTTCCATATTCAACACATGTCACACATGTAATTTGAAAACAAACACAAGAGGCCGGGCATGGTGGCACAGGCCTTTAATCCCAGCAGTCAGGAGGCAGAGGGAGGCCAATCTCCATGAGTTCCAGGCCAGCTGGGGCTACAGGGAGATTCTGTCTCAAAAAAGACAAAAAACAAACACCAAACAAAATAAAAACCCACAAAAGAGAAAAAACAAACACCAAATCCCAAACGAACAGCAGTATCTGATCTTCCTTTACTAAACAAGAAATGATGGGCGTGGTGGTACAGCATTTGGGCTGAAGGAGGAGATCATAAGTTCAAGGCTAGGTTGGGTAGCATAATGAGACACTGCCTCAAAAAACCAGCTAGCTAGAAACACAAGTTAAGGGGCTGAAGAAATGACTCAGCAGAGGACCCATGTCTGGTTCTCAGCACTCACATGGCGGATAAGAACCATTTGTAACTCCAGTTCCAGGGGATCTAATACCCTCTTCTGACCTCCATGGGCATTGTGTGACATGGGTGCACTTATATACATGCAGGCAATACACTCATACGTGTAAAAAAATAAATAAGAAAAGAAAAAAAAGTGAGTAAATAGATATCTATAGATGTATAGAAGAGTTAGGAAGGAGATGCAAAACCACAGTTTTAAGAGGAAGAAGGGGCAGAAGAATCAAAGGCAAAGGTAGCAGAGAAAAAGAGTCAAGGTAAAGTTTGTCTTTAAAACAAACCCCATTAGACTACTATATTTTGCATGCTCATTATCATAAAATAAGACATTTAAACACTTACCATCACCATCTAAAATCCATGTTATAAAATGATTACTTGCTTGATACTGTATTACACATGTTATCTGATAAAGACTGCCTTCAAACTGAAATTCGTAGTGCTGCAAATCACTACGCGGTAAGCCTTCTACAAAGTGCAGCATGAATAAGGGAGACACTCTGTGGGAGAGAAGGCAAGAGAAGTCAAACAATTTAATGCCACGTGCCTGCCATACAAAAGATCATACACATGCCGGGCATGGTGGCACACACCTGTAGTCCCAGCACATGGGAGGCAGGAGGCAGAGGCAGGCGGATCTCTGTGAGTTCAAGGCCAGCCTGGTCTACATAGTGAGTTCCAGGCTAGCTGGGGCTATAGAGAGACCCTGTTTCAAAATGACCAAAAAAAAAAAAAAAAAAAACCCACCACAAGATGATATACTTTCAAGGTTAGCTACACTAATTTTCTCAAACACCTCCAGATGTGTGCCTTAATTAGAAACAGAGAAGTAATTCTAAGATGTGTAACACCAAACTCTTTTTGAAATGCTATCACTGATAGGTGGAAGCCACCATGCAATAAAACTAACAAAGACCATTAAACAAAAACTGCTTGGTAAGCAGCAATGCACTTTGGCTTGAAGAGCCACTACTTTCAAGAGTAACTACTTTATAGAATCAAAAGGAAAAAGTCCAGATCTTTTAGGATTGCCTTTAGCATTGAGTTCCCAAATCAATCACCTCTGTTAAATGGAGAAGGTAATATCTGAAAATCTTAAACCTAAGATTCACAAGTAAACATTACTTTGGCGTTATTTCTCTCCTTTCAGGAAGTAAAGAGATCTATTAAATTCAAATTTCTATTTCAGAAAAAGTTAATTTGTATTTCAAGTACAGAAGAAAGCAAAACATACTGGCTGATTTATTATAAATTCCAAAATGTTCATAATTTCAAAAATACATTTTATCATTACTGTAACATGTCAAACTACACAAAACCCAGAGATGGGCCTCAAATAACTAAACAAAATTCTTGGGATTTAGGAAATGTTGGATAGCCCTTTTCCTAACATTTAAACAGTTGTCAAAATTTACTTTTTTTTTGGTCTTTTTGAAGCAGGGTCTCCCTGTAGCCCCAGCTGTCCTGGAACTCACTATGTAGACCAGGCTGGCCTTGAACTCACAGAGATCCATCCGCCTGCCTCTGCCTCCCAAGTGCTGGGACGATAGGCGTGTGCCACCACACCCGGCCAAAATTTACTTACTTTATCAAAACTTATTTAGCTGAAATGAACTTGAATCTATGTCCAAAATGCAAGATTATTCAAACTGTCAAGGAGTAATCTGTAAATTATTCCCTGTCAATTATTTTAAGAGAGTAATTAAGTCTACAAAGAACCTATAAAGTTCTACAAACTGTAACACCAAATTTTTTTCCCCCTTTTAAATATATTTTATTTATTATTTTATGTGTATGAGTGTTATGCCTGCATGTAGATAAGTACATCCGTGTGGTGCAATGCCCGTGGAGGACAGAAGAGGCTGCTGGATCCCCTGGAACTGGAGTTACAGACAGCTGTTAGCTGCCATGTAGGTGCTGGGATTCAAACCTAGGTCTTCTGCAAGAACAGCCAGTGTTCTTACCCACTGAGCCATCTCTCCAGCCCCTCTTTTACCCTCTAAAAAAGTAATACCTACCTTGGAAACTGTAAGATGTGACTGACTACAAACTGTACAGTGAACTATACACAAACCAATTGTTTTATAAAACTGAAGGATGTGTCTTTTCATCAGTAATTTACAGTAAAACAGAAAGTCTCAGAGTTAGAAAGGCAGGCCCCAGCCTCTACAATATTTATTTGAACGTATATTACTCTAAAAATTAATAAAATATTAAAGTCTTGGTGATATTTAGTTTCCAAGGCCTCATATGTATGATAACATTCCAAATATCTTCTGAGGCTACTTACGTAAAATAAGCAAATAATAATTCTAGACTAGGAAATCTTTTTTTTTTTTTTTTTGGTCTTTTTTGAGACAGGTGATCTCCCTGTAGATCCAGCTCTGCCTATGTGCTGGGTGGGATTAAAGGTGTATACAAGCACAACCAGTTTTATTTATTTAGGCTAGGAAATCTTAATAGTTTCTTGCCTTTGAGTTTACCCAAGAAATGTATTAGTAAGAATAATTAGATAATGTAACTAAAGTCACCTGCCAGATTTTATGCTTTTCGTATGTTCTGAGCTTTCTGAAGTATTCATGGACAAATGAGTAAAACTAAAAAAATGCCAAGACTAAAACTCCACACATTTCAGTTTCTTAGATGTAGCGATACTCAAATTCTAGTTGAATAGAAGTGAATCCCTCAAAGGTCTGCTTTGAGACCTTGATGGGATAGAAATTTTATTACCCAGGGCAGAGGGTGGGTGGGGGAAATGACAAATTTTATAATATCCTTGAACCAAGCTTACTGTCAGAAGGTTGACTTACACAAAAAAGTTCTCCAGGGCCTAATGGCCACATTTCTTTGTAATTGAGACTAGCCTTCAACTCCTGATCCTTCTGCCTCCACCTCCCAAGTGCTGGGATTATAGGCCTGCACCTCCATGCCAAGCAACAATCCCAATTCTTTAGAGGGTTTTCTTACTATTTTGACCAAACCCTCAGAATGCTCTCCTTTCCACATTTTCGTTTTTCTTGGTGTGAGGATTCAACCTGGGCCTCACATGCGCTAAACAGATAGACCAATGAGCTCCCTGAACCCCACCCCCATTCTATTTTATAAAACTTGGTGGTAAGTTCCAAAAGACAAACTCGAAATTTTTCCCCCCTTTTTCTTTTTTGGTAAACATGCCCGAGGTTGTAATGCACTTAATTAAACAGGCAGCGTCTTTCTTTCTTAATGGCATGTTTTAACGGCACAGCCTATAAATAGTGACATAAAATGCATCCTCCTCTCCTTGCTGCTTTTGGGTCCACTAGACTTCAGTATCCCCTATAAGCCATAGTATTTTCCTACCCCAAACCTCTGCTAGTCTCATTCCCTGTCTCTCAGGAACTTTGTCCTGTATTTTATTTTCAGGCTTCTTCCTACCCTCCACTCCAATGCTGGAGTGTCGGTCAGAGAGGATGCTCAGATTTGAGGAAAGCCAGGTAGGCTCTGCCTCAACCATGCAAAAACTGGACAGAATGGAATAACAGACCTGGAGCTAGAGTCATGAGAAGGCTTCATTTGCATTCGCCTAGCATGGGGCTGAACTCATAAGGATGTATCTCAGGAAAAGAAAAGACAGCAGCAAAGAGAAAGCACAAAGAGACTGTTATCAGTTCTGCCACAGAAGAATACTAGAACCACCCACCAGTCCTCTACCACAGAGTGGCCACATCTTGTACTAACAGCTGGATTAAGAAACTTTTGAGTTTCACCTGAATTTATGTAGTAATTCAAATCTTAAAAAATGCAAATTTAAAAATTCTACATATTACATTTGCACTGTAATAATGTAGCCTTCAGATAGAAAAAAGTCTGAAAATGTAATTTCTAAACCATATTATTCTAAACCTTGTATTGGTTATACCATTTTAAGTACTTCAGACTATGATGAGAAATCAAAAACCTGCAGGTTGTGGTGGCACAAGCCTTTAATTCCAGCACTTGGGAGGCAGAGGCAGGTAGATAGATCTCTGAGTGTTCAAGGTGAGACTGGTCTACACAGTGAATTCTAGGCCAGTCAGGACTACAAAACAAACAAACAACAAAAAAGAAACCTGTATAATCAGTTACAGTTCAAATGATTAGGACTGGATCATATTAGCCATAATATAAACAAATATACAGGTATCTTTAGAAAAATATAAACATATCTTTAGAAAAATTCAACTATTCAACAAAGGAATACAAATTGTTCTCTGGAGATAGTGAAGGAACTTACAAATACTATAAAGCATTTTCTGCAGAATAAAGACTGAAATAAGAAACAGAATATTAAGCCATGTGTGACTGGTAGTAATCTCACCATCAAGGAAAAGGATTGCAAAGAGAAACCCTGAACACTTAGATCTCAAAATCTAGAACCCCGATGGTCAAGTCAGGTTATAGTCTGGTTAACACAGCTCTCTTCCTTCCCACTATGCCTCACATTCAGATGTTACTGAGGGACAGTGAAGGACAAACCCACCCAACAGCCTACAAGGACAAAGAAATGTGAAAGCCAATAAATATTTAGAAGATGACAGTAGACAGAAGTGTACCTGGCACAGCAGAATAGATGACACAGTGATGTAAGTGCTACACAGCGGCATACTGATGAGGAGAGCCTCTTTGTCCCATAGACCCCCTAAGACTCAATATGTACATGCAACAGATGTTGTGGAACATGGGATGAGGTCTGGACTTAAAAAAACTGAATAGGGACTGAGAATGTATAAAGAGAACTCCTGGGCAGCATGCCCATAGCAGCGTCATTAGGCCCAGAAATAAGAGTGAAAGATGGAAGTCAGCAGAAGTTTCCAGAAAAAAGGGCGTGCTTCCAAAGATCTGAAGCATTTGCATGTGCTAAGACACAATGTGCTAAGGACAATTGGGGGAAATTCCATTAACAAACCACAAAACAAATGAAAACAACAAAAACTATTACCGTATACACAGAGAGAAAATTATATATATATATATAATATATATATAAAAAAATAATAACATAAGCACTGAGTTCTAGTTTAACCACATGTACTCACACTGAAAGGTCAGGTGCAAATGGAGAAGCCTGAGTTCTAAGCCATTACATAAGGAGAAGAGAACCAAGTGATGGTACATGACTATAATTCCAGCACTTGGGAGGCAGGATCATGACTTTGAGTCTACCCTAATCTGCACAACAAGACCCTATCTCAAAAAAAAAACCAAAAATAGAGAAGCACAAACTGTATTACATAAGCCATCTTACTTTGCCTTGTCAAAGTAAACACCACTTTGATTTGAAGCAGAAGCCTAGGAAGGTGAGTGAGGCAGACAGTCACTCTGTTTTTCAATTTAAGCCTATGGTACTGTTAAATTAACTGAGATTTAATACTTTAATGAGAATAAACCTTTAGAAATGAGTCTGTGGAATTTCTGGCAGATTTGAGAGCAGCAGAGGTTAGTATCACTGGTGGATTATATCAAGTTGTACCTCATTTCCTTAATATAGAGTTAGACTGAATGAGAGGCTAAAAAGGATATGCACATGTGAGTGGACTGCTGGAACCACCCATGAGTTGAAGGAGGGAGTAATTTTGGTAACACTGTTAACTGGTGACATTTAGCACCATCCCTGGCCTCTACTGAGCAGATGATAGGATCGGTCTCCAGTTTCAGCAACTATTCAGAATGAAGCAAACAGCTGACAAATACAGTGAAAACATCTGCTCAAGAGCAGGAGAAAGCTTATAAAATGATGAAAGCAGGCTGGTATCTAGAAGATGGAAATTTAGATAGATGAGACCCTAGCATATCTCGCAAACATCTTAGCTCTGGAAATGAAAGAAATCCCAGAATTCTAATGACAGAGAAGAAAAAAATTTATTGTCCCCAAAGAGAGAAAAAAAGCCTCCCTCCCCCACAAAAGAAGAAAATCCAGGAGATTGGGTCAAATCATCCTAAAGCAAACCTACTGTAGTAATTCCCCTGGGACAGCATGCCTATACAGAGTTCTTAACAATGACAAGCAATGAGCAAATCATAAGTGTATGTTAAGCTCAAATTCAAAGAAGTAGGATGTAGTCACTACTTTCCAATTATACATGGAAAAAAAAGTAACTCATCTTCATTTTAACTCTAAAAATTATAAGGAAATTTAAACTCACATTTCCAGTACCATTTTTCTTATTTGTGATTTACTATTACAACTGTTACATGGACCAAAATGGGCAGCGTTAAGTGGGTGCCATTCAGGGACAACATTTGTAAAGGTGACCAGATTCTTCAAACACCTATTAAAAAAAAAAAAAAAAAGGCACAATGTAAATTCATCTATATTAAATTCGTTTATATTAATTTAAACCAGTCTAAAATAACTCATCCTTCATTTTCCCAAATCATGTACAGTAATAACCTCCTTACTACTGATAAAGCAGCTCTCTGTAGAGACTCTAGTTTTTCAACTGTGAGGGAAGCAAGAAAGTTTGACAGGCAGAGGTTCAACAGTAATGCCACTGACAGCTAATATCACACAATTATATGTGAGGCACTACTGTGCACATACATGGTGAATGACCCTGTCATCCCTGGTCTCTAGACACATGCCAGGATGAGCCCCCTGTTACAGCACCCAATGTCTCTAGACATTGTTAAGCATCCTATTATGAGGAGGCAACAGAGCCCCTCTGGCTCTCACTATTCTTAAGATTGTTGAATTTAAGAACTCATTTATCATTCAACTCAATCTGGCTAACCACTACTGACAAAAAGGGGAGGGGGGGTATTTTCAAATATACAATTTAACTTTCTTGATTAGAAAAAAATTAGTTGTCGAATTTTGCTTTTTCACTTTAGTCTGAATACTTGACAACATTAGTCCGAATACTTGACAACATTAGTCCAGATGATCTTTGAAGATGTACACTTAACCTGAGTTGCATCAACTATAATAAATGGATCTTAAATTAAAACAGCAGTTACCAAAGAAACACAAGCTTTTTTTTCCCTAAATGAAAAATACTGGCATATGGTAAGTGAGCAAAGTACTGGTTATTAACAAAAGATCAGTTTGTAGGAAAGCTAACAATTTAAATGCAAAGCAACAAAAAGGTATTAACAGACGGACTATACCCCAAGCTCTTCATTCTTAAAGATAGCATTAAGCAAAGACTCCTACTTTTTCACCTAGTAATAGGGAGTTTGTCTGAACAAATGTTAATATTCCCCAAGACCACTGGCATTTCTGAACACTAACTGTAGGTACAGCTAGGTAGTGTGAGGCACTCCCCTGCCAAACAACTCTAAGTACTACTTCTGCCTTTGTAGAGGCAATGAATGACAGACAGATTGGGACCTAAATCTACTGCCAGTCTCTGTGGGCCAGATTTTTAATTATCCCCTGAGAGTATTCACTAAAGTAAAAGTCCTTACACTGGCACACACAAAAAAAAGCTCTAAAATGAGTGAACTGGCTGGATTGTCTGTCAGATCAGTGGAAATGAATTTATATTATATCACCGAAGCGAGTTATTGAAATTCCATTTCACTTTAGCTTTGACTCCTTAACTGGTTGTTGGAATGAAAGATTAAAAAAAATAAAATAAAAACAAGCCAGGCGTGGTGTCATACACCCATACACCTTTAATCCCAGCACTTGGGAGGCAGAGGCAGGCGGGTCTCTGTGTTCAAGGCCAGTTGGGGCTACAGAGAGACCATGTCTCAAAAAAGCAAAAACAAAACGGTGTCTGGGCAGGGAGAGGTGGCTCAGCTCATCGGAAAGTCTTGGCTGTTCTTTCAGAAGACCTGGGTTCAAATCTCAGCACCCACAAGGTGGCTAACAACCATCTACAACTCCAGTTTCAGGGGATCCGATGCCCTCCTCTGTACTCTGAGGACACTGCACAACATAGGTGCACTTACATTCAGGCAATACATACATAAAAATGATTAAAAATAAATTAAAAAAAGTTTTTTAGAAAGAAAACAACAAGCACTCAGGAGACAGAGGCAGGCAGATCTGTGAGTTCAAGGCCACTTCTAGCCTACATAGTGAGTTCCAGGACTGCAGGGGCTACAGGGAGACCCTGTCTCAAAAAGACAAAAATAAAAAACAAACAAAAAACAAAAACAAAAACAAAACCCAAACCAAAGTGTTTGATGGCTTCTCCTGGAGCTCTGTCCACACAACTCAAGAACTCACTTAGCTTGTGTGCAAAGGAAACATAAAGATCAAATTAATTACTAAGTCTCTGGTCCTTTCCTGAAAGTTCATTACTACTTACAGTAGTTACCAACTAACAGTCTGAACAGCAATCATCCCAGTAGCCAGGTGAGCTCCTGGCACAGAGAACATTCAATGAAAAGCTGTCAAGCTACCAGGATGTAGATTCTAGAAAAGCTATAATTAAGCTCATTCTAATCATCAACCTTATTTATATTATTAAAAATAAGGGTAGTGATTAGGGAATTTACCAGTGGGCGAGAAAGCCATGGAGGCAAGAAAAGCTAGTGTGCCTCCTGATTCTGCAACTTACTTGTGTGCTACCCTTGCCTTGTGTTCATATTTGTCAAATCAGGATTGGGGGTGGGGGGGTCATGCTCAAGGAGTTCCTAGGAAACCAGGTCACTCACACAAATCAATAGCAGAAAATCTGGAAACAGCATCCTTACTTGCTTACATAAAGTATTCAAGTATCATTGTGAATTCTTACCCCTTTCTAGCAGTCTTGAGCTAACTGGCTAAAAACCAAACTTTCTGTTGCCTTCCCTACAGCATTCTGCCAGACTCAAGTCTCTTTGACTGTTCCATACCTACTAAGAACCTCTTATTTAGATACAGCTGTATATAATTACTTAGTAACTTAATAACTTAACTTATAACATATATTTACTTAATAACTTTTGAGACTTGCTAGTATGTAAGTTAAAGAGGATCAATCTCCACTGTAATAATCTGAATAAATGATCAACAGGACAGGTCATTGTTTAAATGCCAGCCAGCAGCTTCTCTGGTGAGGTTAAGGTGAAAGTGTGAGACAAAACAGTTGTCCTGTCTGATTGTTCCCCTGAATAGGAAGGGAAGTTAGCCGAGAGATGTGCCACTATCCTCTAGGAGCCTCAGATAAGCCTCTGTCATCAAAGACTAAAGCAGACAAAAAACTGACTTTTTTTTTTTTCCAAAAAAAAAAACACTGTTAGAGGAATTCTCAGCACAAGTCTGAGCTAAGGATCTGAAGGGTGTTACTTTCATGTGTTCCCAGCTTCCCATCAAAGAAATTAAGAAAATTCTTTTCAGCAATCATTTCAGCCAAGCATTCTTTTTGTTTTATTTTGAGATTTTGTTTTATTTTGTAACCCCAGCTGGCCTGGAACTCAATATGTAGACCAGGCTTGCCTCTATCTCACAGACATCCACCTACATTTGCCTCCCAATTGCTGAGATTAAGGGCATGTGCCATAAGCCTGGCTTAAACCATAGATTTTTAAACCTAATTTAAAGCAGGAAGCAACAAGTTTCTGGTGCTACAAACTGTCCTTTTAACTTTAGAGGTGAGAAAGCTTAAGGTGTGGGAGCCATCTGTGATCTAGCCTGTAATTTTAGAACTTAGGAGGCTAGAGCAAGAAGGTGGCAAATCTGAGTTCAGCCTGAGCTACTTAGCAATAACCTATCTTGGAAAAAGAAAAAAAAAAAAGATGGGGAAGGAACCAAGAGATGGTGATACATGCTTGTAATTCTAGTACTGTAAATAATGAGGCAAGAAAATCTCAAGTCTTAGCTAACCTAGGCTACATAGCAAGTTTTAGGCTGCTTGGGCTGTACTATAGCAGACCTTGTCTCCAAAGCAACAAACAAACAAACAAACAAACAAACAAACAAACAAACAGGGGTAGGGGGGAATGCTGTTAAGGGTAGAAGTATCAGGATAGAATAGTATTATAGGTACAGAAAGTGCACATTACTGAGAACTAGTTCAGCAGAATGAACTCATTTTAAAAACTAAAAACTAACCTGTTTTGATACTGGTGTCCACATTGTGAACATTCAAAATTCCAAGAAAAAGAATATATAAAGAGCTTTTCAATGTGGGGTTCTATTTTTAACAGCAGGGGAAGTGCAAACACAGGGCTTTCCATCTCACCTTCAAAAAGAAAAGGAAAAATGGTTACATATAACAACATCAAAAGGAAACCTAAATCAACAGTGTCTTTTTCACTGTATTTACAGTATAAATATGTGAATAGAGCACACAGAGTAAGTCATTCACAGCTGGATTTAGAGGACAGTTAAAAGCATTTCCAGACATGTTCAGCATAAACGTAATTATCATGCTATCAGTCTCTTATTTTGGAAATGTTACAAAAACTGAGGACAAAAACACACAAGACCTACTACACGTTGTGGCACATGCCCTTAATCCCAACACTTGGGAGGCAGAGGCAGGCGGAGCTCTGTGAGTTCAGGGCCAGCCTGGTCTACATAGTGATTCAGGCCAGCTGGGGCTACAGGGAGACCCTGTCTCAAAAAGTCAAACAAACAAACAAACAAACAAAAAACTCGACAGCAAAAACACACACAGACAACAACCATACTGCCGTCTTAGAGGGAAAAAAGTTCTCAGTATATAGTGTATATTTAAACAAAAATCAAGTAAATGTTTTGCTAGAATATATAAGAAAAAAAAATTAGTGAAAATACTAGAGAATGTCAGAATTGGTCAAAACCAGTGAAACACTGAAACACTGCTTCTTTTCTGAACCACTGGTTCTACATGTGAACAGGGCTTAATACACAAGGGTAAAGGATCAATTAAACTCTGGCAACTTTAAGAATAGACAATGTGGGAATTTTGTTGTCATTAAAACAATCATGGAACAGTGAATGCCTCTTTGAGAACAGTAAGCCAGTTTAAGAGGAGGCTTCGCATTCTTTAAAAATTTTTTATCTCTATCTATCATCTATCTATCTATCATCTATCTATCTGTCTGTCTATGTATGTCTGTGTGAGTGTATGCCACTTGTGTGTGGATGCCTGCAGAGGCCAGAAGATGGTGTCAGATCCCTGGAGCTGGAGTTACAGGCAGTTGTAAACTACCTGATGTGGGTGCTGGGAACCGAACTCACGTTCTCTGAAAGAGCAGCAAGTGCTCTTAGGGTGTCAGATCCCTGGAGCTGGAGTTACAGGCAGTTGTAAACTACCTGATATGGGTGCTGGGAACCGAACTCACGTTCTCTGAAAGAGCAGCAAGTGCTCTTAAGCACTGAGCCAACTCTCTAGCCCTGAGGCTTCACATTTTACATTCATTCTCCAGCTGATTTCCTTCCTTCACTTACAGGGTCCAGGAGACAAAGTCCTCCCATCTCCTCCCCTGGACAGAGCCTCACTCTCATAGTCCAGTTCCTTCCCTAGCTCAGAACTAGAGGTGCCCAACACATGGCCTTCAATTGTCATGTTGGCAGGGCCACAAGGCACACAGGAGGTATTACTACCCAAGAACATTCTACACAAACCTGTAGTTACAAAGGCTATTTTAATTGTCATTTTTGTGATATCACACTGCCTTTTTTTTGCCATTTTTATAAAAAGGCATAAATTAGAATATTTCTTATAAACAACAGTACAAGTCAATCTCCTAGCAAAGAAAACTGCATAAGCTTGTAAGTTTATAATGTAAGTCTGTAATTAGTAATCAGCCTTTAAATGCTAACTCTTATCAGTGGCCAGTCTGGTTTACACAGTGAATTCCAGGCCAGTGGGGCTACAGGGAGACCCTGTCTCAACAATAACAACAAGACCCAATTTTTTTATACCCTAGTTAAATGGTCTCTACCTCTAAATCTACTCCCAATCCCCACACTACAACCATTTATCCGATTATTTTCTTAAAACACCATTAGGTGCTGTGATACAAATCTTCCAGTCATTACTTACTGTTTAACTATTCAACTCTTTTGTTAACTGCTCATTAGTATCTTCAGAC